AAGGGCGGTGAAGGATCACAGACTTCAAACATGTGTCATGATGGATTTGGATGAGCCTGGCACTAAAGTATTATCTAGCGCAGCTGAGGTCCTGAGTTGGATTCCTAGGGGAGGGACAAATGGGGATGGAGGTGGGAAGGTGGAGACAGGGAAGGGAATCTATGAGTATCAGTTTTCCCATCTAAAAGAAAAGAGGTTAATATACATGGATTACAAGTGCTCTATCACTAAGCTACAAACCCAGCCTAAACAGTAGCATAAGCTGCTATTTATATGTTTTTCCCACAAATCCAATCTGATGATCTAGAGGATACCAAACCAAAACAAAACAAAAACAAACAAAAAAAAACCCTACCCTAAATCATAAACAAAAGACCAGCCTCAAGCCATACAGCCTCCATGCACCAAAGGCTAAGCTAGAAGAATGGTGTCAGGTGGCACATGGGAAGGAGAGGGCCCTAGGTCACATCTGGCATGCTGACCTTGTTCAAATCCCACATTTGCCTACATAATTATCTGCACATTTAAAATGTGAATGCTGCTTCCTTCTGCAAATGTTTGCTAGGCATCAGGAGTTATCACAATGGAAGGTGCTCTAAGGCCTTTTACTGCCAAGGCTCCGCCCTGCCAAACACCATTACCTTCTACCCAGCTACTGTGCTGAAAATGATGCATTTACATCCGAGAGTGGGAGCGCTAGACATTCACAGATCCTCCAGACTGCCGCTGTCACTATCAGCAGGCAGCAGTGGTAGGGTTAGGAATATGCATGGGATAAAATTTGCTATATGTGAAAGCTTGACAATGGGTAGGTGGCTGGTCATTACCCCTAAGAGTAGCTGTTCCCCTTCTTCAAGACCATGGTCTTTTATTATCTACAAATACAACCAAGGACATAACAAACACAACTGAAATTAACAGAGAAGTATCAGCTTACAAGATTGCCTACCAACCGGGGAATCATGTGATGGACAAGTCATCCACACAGGAGACATCTGTAGCTGTAGAAATACACAAGGACACATCCCAAAACACCCAGTTTGGCTATTTCAACACATACTGGGATTACAGCAAACATCAAACCTAACTAAATTCCTGGAAAGGAACTCTGTGAGTTTTGTGAGAGTATGGTGCCCTCTGCTGGACACCAAGTGAGCCTCCATGATGGCACTACAGCCAGGGTAAACCTGAAGCAAATGTGTACACATACATACACACATACGTGTACTGTACTGCATCCAGCCATTACAGGATGTGAAGATTAAAGTATAGAAAAATCCCGCCGGGCGTTGGTGGCTCACACCTTTAATCCCAGCACTCGGGAGGCAGAGGCAGGCGGATCTCTGTGAGTTCGAGGCCAGCCTGGTCTACAAAGTGAGTTCCAGGACAGCCTCCAAAGCCACAGAAAAACCCTGTCTCGAAAAACCAAAAGAAAAAAAAAAGTATAGAAAAATCCCAAGACAATAGAAATAGGCGGGAACAGGAAGGTTTCTAAGATTTTCTTCTAAATGTCACACTGGGAGACCCACCAGTTTCCCTGTGTATCACCACAAGTATTACTCTGGAAAGAAAAATGGGAACACCCTGTAGGTGATCCCAGAGAAACTTAGAGACATACTGTTTATAAAGAATCAAGAGGCACCACGAGCTCCTGAATGGTATGTGGTGTCTTCTAGGTGGTTGAGTGAACACACTTCAGGTCACTTCTCTCAAAACGGATTAACCTTTGATCTCATGCCTGAGCCATCTAGCAGTGGCTGCAAAGAGGTTGTCTGCAAACCTCTAGGCAACAATGGTGGGGTCTTCGCCACACTCGGCACCAGTGAAAAGCTAAGTGTGCCCACACACACCGACACACAGGGTCTCTCTGTAGCCCTGGCTATCCTAGACCCCACTCTGTAGGCCAGGCTGGCTGGGACTCAAGAGATCCACCTGCCTCTGCTTCCTGAGAGTTAAAGCCATGCTCCACTACACCAGGCTAAGCTAAGAGTCTTAATAACTGTGCAAAACTGGCTTCAGAGTGGGCCTTGAGAAGATGGCTCAACACCTGCACATATTTAACTCCATTGTCCTATGCAACGACATGGGTCCTTGCCTGATGAGGCAAGGCCAAGCCCTGGGGAGAAGGCTGAGTCTGCCCACTCAAACTTCCTTACCTAATAAATGGCAAAAAATGTATTCGTTTTTATCTAGATGTGTTAAATAGAACACTACAGGAGGCCGTGAGAATTCATTAGTGTTCATCAGTGTCATATTAACTGCTTTTCCAGCAAGAAGTACTCCAGAGGGCATGGGAGACAGAGCAGGTGTAGGACCTGGAGAGGGGAGAGGCCCTAATAAAGGCCGGGGAGACTAGGTGTTACACTTAAAAAAGGACACCAGCATGCCATCTGCTTCGTTAGTAGTAGACTTTGGTGTGAAGTTTACCTAGTCTTTATCAAGGGCAGTGGTGTTTAACTCTGGCTACCCACTAGAGCATTCTAAAAACCAATGATGCCTCTGCGCATGTCTGGCTGCCAACTCGTTATTCCTGAGGGAGGATTGTGCAGAGTGTGGCAGCTCTAAAACCTCCCCCATGTTCCTAGCCTGCAGCTCTGGTGGACTGCTGCTGTATTGGTTATGATTTCTGCAGCGTTGAGCACAATGCTTCTACAACAGCAGGCAAAGAAACCAAGAGGCCCTGCCCTTCTTAATTTGGCAATATGGCTGAATGCTGAGTTTAAATGACTGGTCAAAGGGCAAAGGTGCCAGTCGCCCTTTCTGCAAACGGTGATCAAGGAGTCTTCTCCAGCAGGTGCTGCCTGGAACCCATGATATATCTCCCCAGAAAACCCTGCTCTGAGGAAATTGGTTTTGAATCATCTACTTGGGCTTCCAAAAAGTTGCCTAGTTTATGCTTTTTATCTCCAGGTAAGAAATTACAGAATAAGCCCAGAAATGACTTACCTTGAAGTGTTGTAAAGATACTTCAAGATGCACTTAAATTTCAAGAAGAAGTTCACACTTACGTACAATGTTCACTTAAACTCAAATTGTTCATTCAAACACATGCTCTCTAGTTCACCAGGCTCCAACAGGCAACGTCCAGCTGGTCCTTGCACTACAGTACAGCTCCACACCCTCCCATCCTAATCTCAACTTTCCTCATTTCATCGCTCAGATGTGTTGACTTGTGCCAATGTCAGGTCTAGGCTGATTTCCGCAGCTGGGAAGATCCAGGGACATTTTCAGCTCTAAAATATCACTTGCTACTTAAAATTCAATCTGAATGTGTGGCCACAAATGCAGATGGCAGCTGGGCATCTTTTTTTGTTTGTTTTGTTTGTTTTGTTTTGTTTTGTTTGTTTTGTTTTACGAGACAGGGTTTTTCTGTATTGTTTTGGAGGCTGTCCGTCCAGCCTGGCCTTGAACTCACAGAGATCCCCCCCCCCCGCTCCCCCTCCCCCCTCCCGCTCCCCCTCCCCCCTCCCGCTCCCCCCCCTCCCCCGGGCAAGCTGGGTATCTTCTAACAATGGACAGGGGACAGGAGGGACCTAATGGCACCTCACACCTACAAGAAAAGTCTAAGCCAGACTCATTCCAAAGATCATCTATGCCAAGTCTGACCCTCCAAAACCAGGAAATAGAGAAATGTAAATATTTCATAAAGGGCCCTGTTGCTCCTTTCAGAAGCAACCCTCGGGAATGTGCTCCTGTGCCAAAGTCTGGAGTTCAGAACTGCTAAGCTCCACACAATACACTAACAGGCTTACTTAAAAGCCACCCTCTGAGTTCTCAAGACTTTGACTTGTTGTATTCTCTGTGTCCAAGAATTCAGACCAAGATATGCTGGGCACAGTAACTAATGCCTATAATCACAAGTTGAGGCAGGAGGATTGCTCCTAGAGGACAATCTAGGCTACAGAATGAAACCATGTCTCAAAAAATAAAAATTAAAAACTGGTGCCAAATTGAAAGTAAGAGCTGTGTGTGAGTTAAAAACAAAAAAGTGTCTTTTACTTTTCTTTCTTCATTACCAATAAAAATGTTGGGGGAACTGCTGAGCCCTGGAATACGACAGTATGGAGTTTGCCCCATCGTACCAATAATCATTCTTGAGACACAGGCTTGCAAGGTTTCTGCTTATGGTTGTCTGCTCCTAACAAGGGTGAAAAAGGAAGTCACCACAGGGGTCTGAAGTCTAGAGGGTTCTTAAATGAGGTTCTAAAGATGGAGAGGCAGACAGACAGAGAAAGGTGGTGTCCTACCAGGGACAGAACAATGACTACAGTGGCCTATTCCCTCCTAGGACTAAATTAATAAGTATCTAAAATAACGTGGGAAAAATAAATCAAACGAAATCTCAAGAACACCTGGGTTAGGTGGGAAGAAAAATGAAAAGTAATCATGCAAAACCAGGTGATAGGATTGCATGTGGGGAGCAAAAGAAGAAAATGATGTAGAAAACTTACCTGTTCCCACCCCACCCCAGAAAATTTAACACCTCCCCAGAGGGGGAAATTATCCAAATGTCAGCTATAACCAGATAGAAATGCCTATGAAAATCAGACTCTCATACTCCGATGACTTGAAACCCAAACCATAAGATAAGCGTGTGGTACATTCTCTCTCTCAAGCACAATGCTCAAAAATAAATTCCTGTTGTGCTTTGTTTTCCCTGGAAGGTATAAACCATCACTGATTCCAGAAGGCTTCTTCCCAAATTTTCAGGGAAACATTCTGGGCTCTTTGACCTGGGAATGGGATGGAGAGCACAAGCGTCACACTGTTTCCCATTCCAATTGCAATGAAGATTAGAAGCTGGATGCAAAAGAAAAGGTCATCTTAAAAAGGGGAGATTGAACCCAGGGTGAAGGTTACACCTTCAATCATATGCACTTGGGAGGCAGAGGCAGGTGGATCTCTGAGTTCAAGGCTAGAATTGTCTACAGAGAGTGTACCAGTATATACAGCACTACAAAGAGAAACCCTATCAGAGAGAGAGAGAGAGAGAGAGAATATCAAACTGACAAAATTTATTAACTTTCTCCTTCACAGGAATACACAGGAAGTAATGTAAACACTGACACATGAAAGAGCACAAATCAGGAAGACAGTGAACTGGATGGCACTGGTTTCATCTGCATCAAGAGTCCCATGGTTACAGAGACTGGGACATTTAAAGGAACATTCAGATCTATGGATACTCCAGCGGGCCCCTGAAGCCCAATCAATGCCTTGATCTTCCTGTTACAAAACCATCACAGCTGAACACACGCCCACGTCACCCATTTACCTGAGGAATTCAATGTGGGAGCCTAAAAGTAGACTCCCATGTAAGCTTTCTGGCATTTGGAGAGGCGGTGATTTAATTGCCTCTTTTCCTCTTTAAAGAAAACAAAATTAACTACAGGAAAAGCCAAGATGTCTGGTGTTAGCTGGACAGCTATCCAGCCATGGTGACCCTCATCACTCTGTCCCAGGAAGCACAACACATAAGAAAGGATTCCCACTGGGGAAGGGAGTATTTGGAATCCTTACCCAAGGAAGGACACAGTGACCGAAAGAAAAGGATAGGGATCAGTAACCACCTTCATTTAAAACCATGCCTGCTGCAAGCCTGAACTTAGTAATAAGGAGTACAGGCGGCAGTTTTCTGCACTTACCCAAAGAGATTAAGATAACCTGTCTTTTTATCAGATGATAAGAAAGGCAGGAGGCAGATTTTGTTAACTATCACACAGACTGGGTCAATAATGGTACTCAGTGTTACAGATTTAGGTTCAGATAAGACTGCTTTAGGGCTAGAGATCAAAGAAGTCCGAGTTTGCCAAGTCTACCCACTACCTTGTTCCGCCCACACAGGAGACTGCGAATCATGTGTGGAGCTCATTCCTTGCAGCAACAATCTACAAGTTAGTCTGGGACCGAGCAGCGGTGTATGCACAAGTCTTTGGTGAAGATGTGGGACTGACCAACCAGGTGCCTTTTTCCCAGAGGCAGCTAACCCTATGTTGCTAAAAGGTACTTGGCATAGTGTCCAAGATGTACTGTGCTCTCATCAGAAAACAGAATAGAGAAAACCAGAGTGAGGTTTTTTAAAGGGACAGAAACTGATATTCTCAAGATATCTCTATACCATCTGGCCTTTTTGTGCTACTTTATACTTAAGTTCTTATTCAAACAACCATGTGTGCACATGTGAGTGCAAGCACATGCACACGTGGAGGCCAAGGTTCATGCCAGGCACCGTTAGAGGATCTTTACATTTGTTTCAGACATGTAAGATGTCAAATGGTTCGACATTGTGCCATTTGCGGGAGAGGGGTGTTGCATGTGTTAAGAACTGAACCCAGCGCCTTAAGCACGGTAAACATGTGCTCTACCACTCAGCCAAACCCCTAGTTCTGAACTTCGATTGGAAAAGAGTCAGTCTTCGGTGAGCTCCATTATCAACTCTTGTGTGCATCCTGCAATGCCTTGGCTTCTAAAATATGCTTCACTACAGTTCTGTTCTTCAGATCACATTCCCACTATTAGCCTTGGAAAATGGTGATCAGACACTGAGAACTCAATTTTAGGGACTAGTCACCAGTAGGGCTGCAGCCTCTTTCCTGTCCAGTTGTCATTCTGTATGTCTAGACCTACTACCTTACCTCTGCTTCATTCAACTCCAATCAGATATTCATTTAAAGGGGAACCCCCAAGAGTAAATATTTTCATTCACCTACTTATTTTTCTGTCTTTTTTATTCTTTTTATTAGGACTAATTCACATTATAAAGTTATTTTCCTTAAAAAGAAAAAAAAGGGAAAAAGAAAAATGGAAACCGTGAAAATCAGATCTACCTCTGCACTACTAGAACCTGTCACCCTTAAGCAAATAAGGCACCTGTAACATGGCCCACAGGGACAACAGTGGCACTGTACACACAAGATCCTGTGGATTACAAAGCAAGGACTTTCCAACCGAGGTCTGGCAATACCACACAGGACTGCTAAGAAGGGATCACCCACAGGCTCCAAAGAACTCAAAGAACTGTACCTAAAAATCTTCCTGAAAATAGAAACGGACAGAACTAATCTGGTCTGGGGTCAGCCTAATCCTCCTGTCAAGTAGTGTTTCACAGACAAGTAGAGAGGCACAGACAGTCTCGAAAGCAGAAGTCAGAGAGCCTGGATTCTTCTCCCAGGTGTATGACTTACTGCCCACACATATGACACTGCACAAGCTACTTCTCCACTTTTTTCTGCTTCCTCTTCTGTGCGGTTGGTCCTCACAGTGTTTGCAAGGATCAAATGAGACACTGTGCCATACTGTAAGGGAGGGGAAGTAACAGCAGGCTTATTACCTGTCAGTACTGCTTACCACTGCCTATGCTACTAGACACGCCCACCCAAGGACACCCTGCAGAAGAACTGAAGTATGGGTACTACATATGCACACTGTCCTTTTCATTTCATTGGGGCTGTCATTTTACACAATGGAATTCTCAGTCCCCAAAATGGCCTCAGACTACTTTAAAATGTGATGTCACCAAATCTATTGATAAACTTTCCCCAAAGATGCCCAATATAGTTATCTTTGTACAGAGCCTAGAATTCAACATATATCATGCTGAAACTTTTAAAATCTTAAAATCCCTCCCAAGTAGTCATATCATTAAAACTGGTTTTAAATAAAATAAAATGAAAATTAGAGGTGCCATAAATAATAAAATTAGGTCACAGTTCTTCAGTGGTTGCCTCTTTCCTGAGCTTCAAGGCCAGGATCATAGGCCTGTGAATGCTTTTAGAAGCTCAGTCCTGCTGGAGGTGAAAGGACATGTCGGTTGGCAATGAGGCTGCGCTTTTCAACACTAGGATTTGAACAAGGTCTGCTAGGAGCTGCCAAACAGCTTTTGTGGAGAAACCATGTGGTCTAAGGCAGGCTTGCTAGTTTCCGAACGCCAGGCCAGAGTGTGGAGAGTAGCTAACACACACCCCTAGTCAAGGCTCTCAGCTCTTCCTGTAGGCAGATTCTGCTCTCCTCCCCTCTGGTAAATAATTGAACAGAGAAAACAATGAGAAGTGCAGCGATCTGTCTCCCCAGGCCTTTGCGACTCTGCCTAGCTGCAGACTGCCTACATGCAGAACAGACACAGGGGCAGAAAGTGTGTGACTCTGCCACAGATGTGACGAGCTCAAAGCACCCCGGAATCTGGTATTCTTGTCAGGTGACCTTTATTACAGCATTATGTGATGACCGGACGTCAGCTCAGCGGAACCACTAGTTAACACGATGGCTGTCCATTGGAGCCACGGGATGTTGCTGACCTCCACTTTTCTTCCTGTTTTGCTTTGCTTTCCGAGGTTTAAGGATGGTGTAGTTCACATATACCGTATACTGATCTGACAGGAAGGGGACATAGAATGCTCGAAGCAGCTTTGAAGACCTAAAAGAGAAAAGAGAGGGGTAGGAAGTTCATCACTTCACTAGTGACTTTGCAAATAATTAAATCAAGTGCTACATCAAGGATTATGTTTCATATAAATACGGAAGAGTCTACTATTCAGGTACCAGATCATGATAACAGACCTTGTTACTCATGCCAAGAAAAAGTATGTCTCCCTAATAAACAGCCTGTCACAAGCTATGGGTGGCACACAAAGGCTCCAGGGCACACAAAGTTCCAAATAATTTTTACATCTAAACAATGACAGAAACACCAAATGCTCAAACACCCCTGGCCCAGTTCTAACTTTTCCTAGAGAGACGAGGAAAACCGAGTCCTGGGAACCTGTGCAGTGTTGCAGCAGTGTCTGAACCAAGTGACTAGTTTACACACAAGCTCATGCTAGCACAAAATAGTCTAGAAAATTCTTATGACTAAAGTATGAGACTTGGAAACAATCTACACCATGGGGTTTTGAAGTATGTAAGCAATTTGGTTTTAAATTTGTTTACTCCATCTGATAAATCTATGAGAAAGGTGACATTGACATCCCTGTTTCACAGATAGAGGGCAGAGGCATAAGCCGCTGAGGGTCATGCAGATTAATCAGCTTGTTTAAGTTCATGTAGTAACTGGTAAGAGCCTCACCCAGCTTTGAGTCTAGAGTCTGCAAGCTTCACCATTATGTCTTATCTTGCAGCCTGTGGATTTATCCTTTCTTAATTGTAATGACAACTTCAAATACATCAAGTATTATTCCTAATTGGATTTTTCAGTCTGAAAATCCAAGCTGGCCCAGTTACTGATTCGGGAAACAAGATAACTCAAGGGTATCCACGGCCAGTCCTTTTCTAGATTCTAAACTTGTAAATGTCATGTCGACGTGGCATTTGCACTGGCAGCCTACCTCTGGGCTTGGCAGACTCCTGTGATGCCTGCGCACACAATGATACCGCGCTTGGCAAACACACCTCTTAGAGAGACTTCCCAGCTGAGATGCTGGCAGTGCCCTGTGCTCAACAGAGACGCACTTCACTTCAGCAGCCAACAGCTCAAGGGCTTGGATAGGGAATAGAGGCTTAGAGGACCCAGCAGATAAAGCAGGACTCTTGTGAGTCGATGAGCAGGAAGAACATGCACCTGTCCCAGACACAAGTTAATTTAAATCTCCTTCTGCTCACAACAGACAGATAAGGTGATGTCTAACATTGGCAGCAATGCTTTCAGGTCAGTGGCCATTCCAGAAATGACTCCCATTCATTAACACAGTCATATGTTCTCCAGTGGCTCAAGCCCGTGGTTAACATCAGGGTCTGCAGAATCAACTGTGGTATTTTCCTGCTGGAGCAGCTCATACAGTTTCAGTACAGAATGAACCAATGGAGGCACTCATCTGCTTTTGGTCTCCACTGAGCACAGTTCAGAAACCCTACTTCAACATTTTCCATCTCTAATGTCATACAAAAAGTGGCACAGGAAGATACAATTCCAAGACAAATCAGACACACACACAGGTGAGAAGAGTACAGCAGATGTCCAATGGCAATGAAACTGATGGTATGGGGCTGGAAAGATGGCTCAGAGGTTAAGAGCACTGACTGCTCTTCCAGAGGACCTGAGTTCAATTCCCAGCAACCACATGATGGCTCACAACCATCTGTAATGAGACCTGGTGCCCTCTTCTGATATGCAGACAGAACAGTGTGTATATAATAAATAAATCTTTAAAAAAAAAAAAGAAACTGATGGTATAAGCAAATTTCACACTATGGTCTTTGGGTAGCAGTAGACCAGATGAATGTCCTCAAAATCAAAAACTGCTGAGTTGGGCCAGCACCTCCTGCCAAGCCTGGTGACCTGAGGCTGATCCCCCCAACCCACACAGTAAAAGAAGGAAACAGATTCAAAGTTCTCTTCTGACTTTCCCACATGGGCTCCTTCCTCCAATAACACACAAAACAATAAGTGTGAGTATTAAAAAACTGATCAGCAAACAATATATTCCTAGCACAAAAAGAAAATAGCATACTCTCTGCCCAGTTAGACATCACCAGGAGAGATGTTGTCATGCAATATTTGCAATAAGACCCTGATGACTCCTGTTAATAATAAAAAGACATACCCTATCCTTTCATGTTCCATGCTGTTGTGTACAAGATTGTATCTGGTATAGTTCATAAGTGGATAAGCTAAAGGAAGGAATGCAATAACAACAGAGGAACATAGATGACAAAGACATTTTAAAAATTATTTAATAACCAGACAGTGGTGGCACACACCTTTAATTCCAGCACTCGGAAGGCAGAGGCAGGATCTCTGTGAGTTTGAGGTCAGCTTGGTCTACAGAGTGGTCTACAGCTAGGGTTACATAGAGAAACCCTGTGGGGGGGTGGGGGTCATTGACTAGTCAATTCTAAATACAAAAAGAAAAAAATTGAACTAGGAAACAAAATGAGTTATTTGAATAACGATGGAAGAATGTAGGGAGAGAGCTTTAGCCTTAGCCACGCCCATTGGGGGAGTGGCTACAGTACTTGAGGGAGAGGGGATAAATAGAGAGGGCAGACTGGCACTCTCTCCTTGGATGCTGGCCATGTTTTGGAGAGCTTCCCAGCTTTCCATGTAAGTTACTTCTTTCCTACTGCCTTTCCTCAGCATTCTTGGTGTGAGTCACTGACCATCCACAGAAGAATGAGAAGAACTAGGGGCAGTGCTGAGCCAGATTTTACTAGTGATGGAACTGAAACCTACAATCAGTCTTTCAGAATGGATGCATCAGGTTCATGCACAACAGCTAAAGAGCAGCTGGCTGTGATCTGAGACAGCATCCATTTCAGGAGTAACACATGTATGTGTGTGTTCCCAACAAGTAGGATACAGAATAAAACTGAGAATATATGGCCAGGTGTGGTGGCACACACCTTTTATTCCAGCACTTGGGAGGCAGAAGCAGAAGGTATATTTTAAAGATTTATTTATTTTTATGTGTCCAAGTGTTTCCCTACATGTGTGTGCATCATGTGCACAGCAGGTGCCCAAATAGGCCGAATAAGACATTGGAACTGGAATTATAGACAGTTATGAGCCACAATGTGGGTGTGGGGAACTGAACCCAGGTCCTCTGTAAGAGCAACCAAATACTCTTCTTAACCAGTGAGTCACCTCTCCAGCCCCTATTTATTATATTTTTAATTGAATCTTTCATTGCCCTCCTATTTCTATTTTTGAAAATAATGTATAAGATAAGTAAAAAACATAAACAGGCAGGGTTTACTGGACCAAAGACAATGAATGCTGGTAACATTTTCCTGGTGTGCTGAGACATGACACCACAGAGTCCCACATATTTCAAAACACTATCTCAGCTGCACACAGAACATACCATAACCCAAAGTACTAGACTAGACTGAAACGGGAGGCCCAGTATTCATTATTGTTGGATATAAAAAGCAAGCTGAAACAACAGAAATATAAAACAGTAGGACAAAATATCTATAATCTACGCAATAGAGGATTGCTATGTACAGTATATGAGTTGATCCTACAATTCAGGAAGACAAACAACTCAAATAGGAAAAGACTATGAAGTACATGAATAGCAAAGAGAAATGCAAATGGCTAATGTGATGTGACAAAATGCAAGCCATTAATTCAATAACAGGCTTGCAAAAACTATGAAGTCTGACAATATCAAACACTGATACAGAAGTAGGAAACAAATGTCAACAAAAGTTAAATCTACATAACCATGTGAACAGGCAATTTCAGCAGAATCAGGTAAAACAAACTGTGCATCACAGTATAGTAGGGGCTATTATTGTAATGACTCATTTACTTTTTTGCTTCACAAATAATTTCCCTTGTTTTCTGTCTATTATACCAGAATATTTCAAACATAGGAAGCAGGCAAAATATGTTACTTATAACACTTTAAAGGAATGGACAAATTTGTCTCAAATTTAGAAAAAAATACTTTTTTGTTTTGCTTTATTTGAGACAGGGTTTTTTCTCTGTGTAGTTCTAGCTTTTTGGAATTCACTCTGTAGACTAGGCTGGCCTTAAACTCACAGAGATCCACTTGCCTCCGAATGTTGGAATTAAAGGCATGTGTCACCACCGCCCCACTACATTTTATTTTTTAAAGACTGTGCATTCCTGGCTGGTCTGGAACTCACAAAGATCCACCCTGCCTCCGCCTGAGATTAAAGGTGTGCGCCACTGTGCCCCACCTGGAAAACCTCAAATTCTCAAAAATCTGAACAAATAGAAACAGTCAACATGGCAACTACGTATGCAGATTTGCATGCCTCCCACATAGACACAGTCTTTTCTCAATGGGCTAATGGGCTAGTTGAACTCATATTCATATCTGAATATGAATGACATAACCATAACAGAATATTTACCATTAAAAACCCACACACAAGTTCACAGTGATAATACACACATTCAGAAAAGAAGTCAACCCAAAACTGGCAGGAAGAGAGGAGAGTTTAGCACACATCTTGCCATCCCACAGTCGCCTCACTGGTCAGTGCACACAGCCAGTCCTTTTCATTATATTCTCCACAATGTGTATGCACTTATCTGTTGACTTGCTGACTGTCCCTTTACCCCACATATGGACTCAGGGACCGAGGATGTTTTGCCTATATTACATGCCTGGTACTACTGTATGATGAACAGCATATATACTGGAAGGATTGACAGGTAGGTAGAAGACAGACAAATGGATAAAGGAAGTGGGCAAAGGACATTATACAAATGAGCATCATCAGGTGACGGCTTAAATAAATGCAGGAATACAGGATGGGTAACTGACAATTCCTACTCCCCATGAGGAATTCCAAGTTCAAGAAGTTGTGGTTTGGGATAATCACCTTGTCAAGGAAAAACGTGAAGTGAACCAAGAGATACTCAATTCTGCCCTGTTCACCCAGTGTAGAGCAACTGGAAAATTAGCACTAAACTCTAAACAGTGTTCAGCAAGGAGGCTTTTA